CGGGAAGCCTGCTTCTCCCTCTCCCACTCCCCCTGCTTGTGTTCCCTCTCTCGCTGTGTCTCTCTCTGTCAAATAAATAAAAGCTTTAAAAAAAACTAAACAAAAACCGTGCCCTTTGAAAAAAAATAATAATAAAATAAAGACAGCATTTTAACTTCCCCTGTGGGCCCTCCTACAGCACCTGGTCACACTTGGCTCCGTTCACTGGGCCGTGAACACTTGTCTGCTCATGGTTGCGAGTGGGGGGTGGCGATGATAAGGCTGTTACAAGAGGACCTTGATGTCCCCACAGGGCTGGGGTTTCCTGGATAAGGTGCAACAGATGAGCACAGAGGATATATTGGCCATGGTGAAACCCTACTTGGCCAGTATGGTGAGTCAAAAGGGAGGAAGAGGTAGTCCGGTGGGTATCCTATCCAGAATAGTAGGGCACCCTCCTCTTCCTCTTACCCTCCATCCCCCACAGCTAGCCCCACACTGCCAAACCCCTTGGTTCAACTGCTGACTTTTAGTTCCACCTAGAAATCCTCTTGCACATGAGTCAGTGTGGTTCCCAAAGGAAGATCATCATTGTCATCATAGACTGCCCCCTAATGGGCCCATACTATGTGCCAGAGACTGTGCTGAGCCCTAGGACAGGCATTCATCTCCTTCAATCCTCATTATAACCCTGTGAAATAGAAATTTTCATCATCTCCATTTTACAGATGAGGAAACCAAGGTTCCAGGTCTCATGATAAGTAAAGGGCAGAGGCAGAACTTCTGCCAGGTCTGTCTGATCCCAGAGCTTCAGCTGTTAAGATCATCCTGTCAGATGTGGAGCCAGTTGGACCCGAAGTCCAAACCCAACCCTGGTCACTTGTCCACAGTTAGCCGTTGAGCCCATTTCTTCATCTGTAAATGATGGGTGCTGTATTTGAAAAGTCTACTAGGAGTTAGTATTCAGAGGGTGCTCAATCTATGCATATTTCCCTCCCTACTTTGGAACCCCTAGAGCCCTCCCCATTCATACAACCTCATTACTGTTCTCTGGAGCTCTGGGGGAGCCCCCATGATTTGTTCTTTCACTAACTTCCTGGTTAACTTCAACCGGGAAATCCCTCAAGACCAGAACCCTTAGCTAGGAACTTCATGTAGGCTGCCAAACAACCCTGCCAGGCAGGAACTAATTTTCATGGAGGCTCAGCAACCTAGCTGACATCACACAGCCAAGCAGCAATCGCAGAGCTGGCATTCTGGCTCCAGATCTGACCTGATCCTGCCCAGACACTATCTAGAACCCCCAAGGGAGGGAGGAGTTCTGGGCACATGAGTCTTGGGATATGAAAGAGGCCATGCTGGTGGGTGTGGGGCTTCTTGGGAGGGTCTCCTGGGGCTTCCGGAACCTGAGTGGGCCTGAGTCTGGCCTCCTGCCCCAGGATGTGCCCCCTGAGGTGATGCCCAGCATCATAGATGAATACCTAGGCAGCAGTTCCAACACAGAAATCAAACGCAATGCCTTCCAGGACATTCTGGCTGACATCACCATTATCTTACCCTCCTTGAATTTCTCTACAAACCTCCGAGGTGAATCTATCCCTGGTCACCTGCCCCACCCTTTCCATTTTGAACCAGGAGCTGGGTTATCACAGGCGACATGACCCACACCCTGCCACTGCCTCCACACCCCGCTTCCTCTCCGGGGTGCAGATGGGACTCTGGCAGGTCACTCTGCGGGCGAGTAAACCAAGGCTCAGAGAGGTGCAGTGACTCATCAAAGGTCACCCAGCAGGGCTCATCACCAATTCTCAGGGATTCATTTGAATCACGAGTGATTTTTCCCACGTTCAGCACTTCTCCCGGGAGAAAAGTCTTGCTTCCTCCAAGCCTGGTGGCTAGTCCTTGACATAGCCCTCAAACAACTCCAAGCTCCTTTCTTTGTGACCTTGAGCAAGATGCCTATCCCCTCTGTACCTCAGTTTCCTCATTTGTAAAATGGCTCTAATTCGTCTGTTGTCAGGAGGGTGAAATGAGCGGTGACGCAGAAAGCACGTGGAATGGTGTGCGGCAGCCAGCGGGTGCTCAGGAAGCGCTTGCTGATAATGACATTGTCATCATCAGTATCATTACTGGGATTGGAGTTACTATGAGCCGGGCCTGCGATCAGGCTGACGGTACCTAACCCTGAGGCAGCCCCCTCTCCACAGATTCTGGAGTCCCCATCTTTTTCTATGAGTTCCAGCATCAACCCAGTTCTTTCACGAGATCAAGCCTGAGTGGGTGAGGGCTGACCATGGGGCTGAGATAGCCTTCATGTTCGGGGGTCCTTTCCTCACGGATGAGAGCTCCCTGCCGGGTGAGGACACAGAGACAGGCGATCCTTGGGCTGCAGGCTCCAACGGGCTAAGCTGGGGCTTGTAGGCACACACGTCTCGTCAGTGCAGGGAACCCTTGGGTTCTCTCCAGGACCCACCTGACTCTGATCCAGGTCTGTTCCTTCCCTAGCCTTTCCAGAAGCTACAGAGGAGGAGAAGCAGCTGAGTCTCACCATGGTGGCTCAGAGGACCAAGTTTGCCCGGACAGGGTGAGTGACAAGCCAGCACACGTGGCTTTGGGCCTCGATGACTCAGATCTTCCCCCAGGGGACAACGCGGGAGGCCTTAGCCTTCATTCATTCCTCCCACCCAGGGACCCCAATGGGGAGAGGCTGCCTCCGTGGCCCCCCTTCAACCAGTTGGAGCAATAACTGGAAATCGGCCTGACACCACAAATTGGCCAGAAGCTGAGAGAAGCCCAGATGCAGTTCTGGGCAGAGAGGCTTCTGGCCAAGATCGGCCAGTGGCGGCAGATGCGGAAGGGCAGGAAGGCCCAGGAGGAGCCCTAGGGCGGGGGCAGAGTCCCAGCAAAGCAGCTTCTTTCTCCCGCTGCTAAGAAACTTTGACTTAAACCAAGCTGATATATAGACATGTCCCTTAAGGAACCAGCCCCTCTATGACTGGCACTGTGCTCTGTTGAAATGCCACCTCCTTCCTTCTGCAGGGGCCTTTGTACAAACTCCTCCCTCTTCCTGAAGTGCCTTTTCCCCTTGCTTCATGGCCAGTCCCAGCTCACTCTTCAAGCTCCCCAGGGGACCCCCCCTCCTCCAAGAAGCCTTGCCTGCCTTCTCTGGGCCTGAGTCTGCATCCATTACAGCATAGCCCACTCCAGGCTAGCACTGTCTTTGTCTGTGTCTCTCTCACCTCTCTGAGAGTGGCAGTCAGCCTGACCCCACTCTGCGTCTCCCACACAAGGGTTGGGCAGGATCTGGAGTCAGGGATGTTTGATGAGTGAGTAAAAGACAGAGAGCCGGGGAACCATGGCTGCTGGACACGAACCCAGGCTCTTCAGCCACCAAACCTATGCTCGGTCTGGCACAGATGTCCTCCTTAGCCAGGAGGGTGGATGGACAAGGCAGTCCTGGAGTAGAGGGGAGTCCTGAGACCTCAGGGGATCCAGCCTAGAACAGATCTTAGCCTCCCAAGCAGTAATCACCCCCAAAGCCTGACTCAGGCTGAGGGAGGTCGCTTTCTCCATGCTGCCCACACCTGTCTCCTGCACAAGACAAAACAGAATCCAGCTAGGCCGGAGCCCTGACTCTTAGGATGTGAGATGTGAGTTTCCCAGCCCTAGTGCTTCAACACTTTATGGCCTGGCTGGGCTCCTCCCTCCCCTCCCAGCTTGGGGAGACCAACTTCTAGGGGAGCTCAGCACAGCCCCCACAATACCTACCAGGACACAGGAAAACAGTTGGGGGAGGGTGTCTGGACTAGTGCATCAGTCAGGCTTTTGTCACAGAGAAAAGAAGAGGCCTACCCACTCAGGCTACAACAGGTGAAAAGGAACCAGAGGGTTTTTTTTGGGGGGGGCAAACATTTCTTTTTTTGAGGATCATTGCCCCATTCCCTCAAAACATCTGGATTCTAATCCATATCACAAGGACTTTCCCTGCCCCCACTCTCTCATCCTACAGGTCCAATCCCACAAATACCCTTCCTCAGTCAGACTAAGTTCCTGGCTGCTAAGAGTTACATGAAAAGCACTTGCAGTTGGGACCAGTGCTGTTCAGGGAAGTCCATTTTGGGCAGGAAGGAAAGACATAAAGCCAAATGGGCCCTGAGTCATGCCACTCCCCTGCTCAAAAGTTCCCTGTGATTCCTTGCCACCCTTAGGGCAAGTCCATGTTCTTCACCTGGCATTGAAGGCCTCCCGTTCCCTTCCCCTTCTCTCCACAGGGAAGTTTGTCCCCACAAGTGAGTGGAGAGCCTGACAAATAAACAAGCCCCAGTCACCGCGTGCCACTGGGGACTCAGAGGACTGTAGGTACACAGAGGCATGGGCCAGCCCTGACCTGGTGGACATGGGAAGGAAGGAAGGACATCTAAGCTGAGACCTGAAGGACAAGCAGAGATTACTCCAGGGTGCTGGCCAGAGCAGTGGACTTGAGGGATGGGGAGCAGCGGGAAAGGGTGTTCCTGGCAGAGGGAACAGCAGACACAAAGGCCTGGAGGTTGAAATGTACTGAGGAAACAGTTCTAAAGGCTGGAGAGGTCAGCAAAGACCAGACTCTGAGGGGCCTTGTGGGCTGCAAAGAGGGTGTGTGCTTGAGGGTAATGGAGGGCCTTGGAAAGGTTTTAACCAGCAGGTGACATGAACTGGTTGGGGTGTGTGGTGAGAGTGGGGACAGGGAGAGTAGGGAGGGGACCAGTGTGGGTTTCCAGCTAGGTGGAAAGGCAGTGGTTGGCTCTAGATTTAGAGTAGACAGATAGACCTGCTGATTGATGGACAGAGAGGTGAGGGGAAGGAAGACCCCCAGGGGCTGCCTGGAGGCGAGCAAGCCCAGGCTGGGAATCAAGGGCCCAGATCTGACCATGCTGGATGTATAGAGGCCTCTCCCTCCAGGCCTGAGGGTGCACCATACCTGGGAGGCATGGGGTGGGGGGAACCATCACCAGCTTTGGTGCCACCATCGCCAGAGGGCTCTGGAGGGTGGGCCTCAGACCCTGTCCCACTGCCATCTTTCCCTCCCTCTCATCCCCCCAACCCCAGCTTCTAGAGTTCTTTCCACACAGGGAGGGAGGGGGATGGCCTGGCCCCGCCCCAGTCGCTCAGCGGGAGCATTCATACAAGGTGGGTACGCTGCTGGGATTTCAGTCCTCCTGCCTTTTTAGTCTGTCTTCCCTGGGCCATTGATCGTGGAACACCCCTCCCCGGCCTGCCAGGTCATCCGTGACTGACTGATGGCCCTGCCCTGAGGATCCAGCAGCTACACAGAGCTGAGGGGAGCAAGCCAGGGGGAACCCACAAACTCAGACAGGCCAGGTCCTGCAGGGAAGGGACTGGTGGGCCCAGGGAGCCTCCCTGTGCGGGGTCACAGGAAGGACCATGTGAGCAGCGTGTGTGTGCACCAGGGGTGACTGCGGGGTCAGATGCACACATCTGGACCCAGCCACCTGGACAAGGTACCAGCAGCCGCTCCAGTAGACACAGACATGCGTGTGTATACCCAGTGCCAAACTTAGTTACTCACCCACGTGGCCAGTCCCACACACTCATATTCACACACCCTAATAGGGTTCCAGTTCAGTTCTGCAATTTACTAAATGTGTATCTTTGTGTAAATTATTTAGCTTCTTTGTTTCTTAATTTTTCCATCTATGCAATGGGAGCAGTGATCATGTCCCCTTTCATAGATCTGCTGTGAGCCCTGAGTGATAATTAGCTGTCGAGTGCCTGACACACAGCAAGTGCTCAGTAACTGCTCTCTGGCCTAGATACGGACACAGCTTTCACAATCATACTGTCCTTTGAATCAGACGGCCCCCTTGACTACAGTTTCGACCAGGCTCAGGGCACAAGGCAACCAGCTAGCCAGGCATCACAAGGACACTTGCTAAGCTCGCCTCTGTGTCAGGCTTACTCACATCCATCATCTCCCTCAGGCGTCTGGACAGTCCTCTGGGGTCCTGAATGGTCCTTCAGGGTCCTGAGTGGATCTCCATTCTACAGATGAGGACAATGAGAATCAGAGGGGAGGGTGCCTTGCCTGAGGCCACACACACAGAGATGACAGAGCCGGACTCATAGCTAAATCCACTGGCCTCCGAGTTGTCCTTCCCCCTCCAGAATGTGCCCTCATGTCTAGAACGCACTTTGCTGGAGTTGAGAGATCTCAGAGGCTGATGTAGGTGGAGGGACTGGGGTTCTAACGGGCGGCAAGGCCAGCAAGGGATGGCCAGCGGGAGGGGGTCTTGCAGGGTAACAGCTTCAGACTGTGGTAAGAGAGATGACAGGGTCCAGTGCTGCTCTTGGTTGGATGCCACACAAGCCCCCTCCATCCTCGGGCCTGCACTCGGATGCTATGGCTGGTCCGTGTGCACATCCTCCCCCTGACCAGACTCCAGGGCCTCACCTGCTGCTGGGTCTTCAGGTATAGGGAAGCTGGCAGGGTAAAGGGCTTGAGGTGTCGAGCCTACCCCCACCATGGAGGGTCAGCGTCCAGGCCATCTTTCTCCCTGGTCTCCAGGCCCCATCACACCCCAACACCATTCAGAGCCCCAAGCAAGTGAAGACTCTGAGCCAGGCCATCGCTCCCCTTGGATGAGATAAGCAGTGAGGGGGAATTGGGCCCCCAGGCCTCTTAGGAGACCAGGCAGCCGTCCAAGCAGACCTAGAAGCACCACAGGGGTCCCAGAGCAGCAAAGTTGACTGGGTGGGTGGGTGGGCAGAGTCCTATCACCCCTGCCTGGCCCCGGCCTCCTGAGAGGAGGCCTTGTCTGCCACACCTGTGTGACAGACAAGGTATGAGGCAGAGCCAGGGTGAGCCCCCAGGAGCCCAGTCTCTGTTAGGACCACCCCCTGGGGTGGGTGCTGCCTAAAGTCACCACCCCAAGGGCTGGGAGGAATCTGCCCAGTGTGACTGAGCAAGCCCGTCAGGCTTTCTGTGACCCTCGACCCAAAACTGGAGGGAGGCTCCTGGCCCTTCCCAGCCTCCCAGAGCTTCACCCACGAATCAGTCCTAAGGACCCATTCCTGCAGGGCCGCACCCTGGCCCCCATGTGGCCAGCTGGAGGCACACCTGGGTCTCAGGCTGGGCCTGGGGAGTGGCACTGGAAATGCCATGGCCAGAGTTCTGGGAAAGGGACAGCACTGCAGACAGCAGCAAGAGGGCCTGAAGGTATCCTAGGACCTTTGAAGTCAGGGGTGGGACTGCAGTATGTTAGGGCCACCTGAAAAATACAGGTGGGCAGTGGGAATTCCTCAATTGTCTCCTAATTGGACCAGACATCCAGTGACAGCAGGCTCAGGTCAGAGCTTCCCACCCTGCAACCCCAGTCCCAGGCCACCTCCAGGGCATGAGGTGAGCTCACCTGCAGGCAGCCAGGGTAATCCTTGGGACCAGTCTCTGGGCTGAGTCTCTCCATGACTTCAGGCAGGTCCTTCCCTCTCAGAGATTTCGGTTCCCTGTCTATGCACGAAGTCTGGGCAGGTTGGTCTCATGCAAGAAACTGCAGGAATCTGGCTGTATCCTATAGGGGTGTAGCATATCAGAAAGGCACCCAGAAGGGGATGAGCTGAGTTTTGGAGGATAGCCAGGAGTTCACCTGGTTGACAATGCAGGGAAGGGCATTCCACCCAGAGGGAACAGCATGAACAAAGGTCCCATCCTTTTTCTCCTGCTCTTTCCTACTGGCAGTAAGCCACCTTCCTTTGTGGGAATGCAAGTCACACTTCCTGTGAGGCCTGGGCCAAGTCATTTCTCCATTCTGGGTCTCAGTTTCCTTACATATACAATAGGAACAATGATAATGATGGCAGCAGCAACAATAAAGATGCTTGGAAAGAGTC